CTGAAACAACCTCTGGGCTGATCTAAGTCAGGGCATGGCTAACTCACAGATCGAACACTGAAACATTTAAACCCAAGCCCCCAGAAGTTAGAGGCACAACCACTACACTACCCTTGATTCTCAATTATTACTGGTAAACAAAGAAATAATACTCAAGAGAATGATACACAGTCTTTATTTTAACAGAACAACTTGCTAGTAAATTGTCTGAGTTCAAAGACCCAATCCTGGATCTTGCAGAAGCATCGCCTTTACCAGATGAGGTACACTATCATAATAGACATTAACATTAACCACTATAGGGGAGACTTACTATTTGCTTACTATTTATTATTATTTATTATCATTTATTATTTATATTATAATTTTAGGGTTATGGTATTGTAGCAGGAGACCTTCCAGAACAGGCTGCCAAAGACTTGTCATCTGGACAGTCATTGTTTCGCCGACTTAACCACCATAGTTTAATGGTCTTACAGACATTACAGTAAGTTCTTCATTCGGCTTCTTGTTATTCCAGTCATGTAGCATGTAATTAGGTCACACTGTGATCAACGTCAAATATATAGACCCCTTACAGCATATACCCAATGAGGTTCAATTTGGAGAACTAACCTTACTCTCCTGTGAATGTATAGATACCTTACAGCATATTCTGAGCCTGTGTACGGTCGCTTCCCACCCCTCCCCCATGGCAAAAAAGGGGCGGAGTTTCATGCTTATAGTAACAACCAATCAGATTGTTCCTCAAATTCTTGAGGACCTCACATGAGCTAGGAACATAATTAATAAATGTGACACACAGACACTCTCTCCCTGTTTTTCCTCATAGGGGGAGGGGTGGGAATCGGTTGTACTCAGGCTACTTATTCTCGATGCAGTTTCATTTGGAGGACAAAGCAATAGAATCTTACTCTCTTTTTGTAAACAGGTCAGCAACGAATACAAAAGTACCTGAAGCAGAACAAAATGGAGAAGTCAAATCAAGTAAAGAACCTCCGACTAAAAAGGTGCTTAGGGAGTATTTATTTCCTATAGAGGGGCAAAGGGCCAAAGAAATTGTTCTGAAATTGAATGTTATGTAACATATAGACCAAATTCAAAATTTGCACCGATGTGAGGCTTAAGTTATGAACAAAGGAATCTGGCGTGATTCGTGACTTTTGAATAACCCCAGATTACTTTGAATCACGCCAGATCCCTTTGTTCACAACTTAAGCCTCACATCGGTGCATCGGTGCGAGTTTTGCATTTGGTCTATCAAACACGCAAAAAAGTGTTTCATCCGATTTCCAAACACCAAGAAGGGAGTTGAAAAAAAGAACAAGAGTTTTTCTTAACCAATTTCTAGGTGTTTGGAAGGAGGATGAAATGCTTTTTTGCTAGTACGTACTAGTGCATAAAGAACTTGACTTATTTCCATTGTAGAGTCGATTACGCGAGATATTGGAGTACGAGGATCTTCAGGAGAGAGAGGCAGAAAAATTACAAAGTCTAAAGATTCCTAGTACGAACACGTATGGCGTGGGGCATACTGTAGATAATGTTGAGGTGATGAACAAAGGATAACAGACGTTGCTGCTTTTGATGCTGTTGTTGTTATTGCTGCTGTTGTTGCTGCTGCTGCTGTTGTTG